TGTGAGTCTACTTTCTCTCGACATAATGAAAAGTTATTAGGTTGTAGAAATCTTATACTAGTAGTTGGTTATCTGTTTAGTAAAGTTGAAAGAAATAAGAATAAAATACAATGATCTATCATAAGAAAAGAAAAAGCAAAATACGTATAAAATAACTAGTGAGGGGAAAAAAAATGACAGGATATCATGTGTAACTTACTAGAATGAAAAAAAGAAAATGTTGTTTACATGTATCTATTTCCCCACAACGAGAGAGATCCCAAGAGAGAGAGAGACGAGCGAGCGAGTGTCTCGAGACCGAGGAGTGGCACATTTACTTCTGTCCCCCACCTGTACGCTCACTTCCTGTCCGAGAGTCCGGGACTAGTGACGACACACAAAAGCAGATATCGTTAGTTAGTTAAACTTTGTATAGGGTTCTCACGAAACTATTTTATTTACTAACAGAACTACACAAACACCTTTACACAGTGTCAATCGTAGTACAGGAGATATGTGGGTCATGTTGAATCTTTTAGGGTGTTCCTTCTGAAAGGTAACATACTGACGACGTCAAATATATTTTCAACAAACATATTTCATCAAATGGCACTTGTTACCTTAAGTTTACACTTACATTTGGTACACTCAGACCTACTATAAAAACGTTAATTTTGCAAAAATAGACGTCCCTCATAAATGATTCGATTACGTTTACTACCTTGTTAAAACCTTTCTATACTATCGGGAGGTCTTTTTGCGTCTCCCGCGTCTTAAATGGCGTAATTAGTCGTTTTACCGCGTCTAAAAATTTTTCGGCGTATAAATAGTTGTTCCGCGTATTAGGGGCGTAAAAAAGGTGTGTTTCAACTCTTCTTTTTTCAACTTGAGCAGAACTGTACTCGCAGTAGTCGAGCGCCGTATTTGTCTTCATTTGTTGTGACATATCTGCGAGCTACAAAAATGGTCTGCTCCTGTAAAGATGATTTCTGGCCGCTTTTTCACCCCCCCTTGATAAAGACGTGGGGCATGTTGACTCCCATGGATGCATTGGGTCGAAGATACTACCCCATTTTACCGCGTGGGAATCCGATAGCCGATACCCCATTAGGGGACGCGCGGCCGGCGCGTCCGTGACTTTGTGACACACTCAGGCTGCGGGTGGGCGTTCACCGGGGTGCGGAGTCCCCGGAGGAACGGCACATACCATAACTTTATCCCTTCCCTCGGGCCCGTTAGAACAGGGCTATGGTTTATTGAAAAGAAAAGTCGATAACGCCATACTCGCCTCACCCCACGGTCGCGAATCTCCCGACCGCGGTAAATCCGCGTTATCTTCGACCCCAATGTCATCCATTGGAGTCAACGCATCACACATCAATACGAAGCCCGGGAGCAATTCCGATCAGCACATAACCCAACCTGTATCCATACATTCCTGTTGTGCTCAAAGTGCACCAGATTGATGCTTTTCACTTCAACATTTAAAAACAAAATCTTCCAGGAGGTGCATGCCCCCGGACCCCCCTAGAGGATGTGAGGTCCACCCCCAAATAAAGCAGGTTAAAATAATTTAATTGCATACATTTTATTCGTAAACACTGAAAACGGGTCCCACAGACCCAAACAGCACACAAAGGTTAAAGGTAAGCATATAATAATGTTAAAATGTGCTAAATATATACACTGCAAAAAAATTAAAAAGTGGAGTAAAAGTAGCTCACGACAGGTGGGGCTTGAAGAGGCTTGGTGTGTCCGGGGCTTAAGACGCCTCCCAATCTCTATTTTCACACCTGCAGTAGTCGTAACCATTCCACCTCCTCACCATCTAGTGGGGTTACCAGATCATATGGCTCTGAGTATCTTAGATAAAGGAAACATGATTCCACAGATTAAGAAAAGGATTCTGTTATGGCATCTGATGGCACTCATCTCTGGACGTTGGGTTCTTTATTTACTTGAGAGGTTAGCTGTGTTTCCTCTTCTCCAGTTCCACTTCTCCTCTTGCTAAGCATTTTTTATACATAAAAGTATGAGTCAGTGAGAGCTTCCTTCCTTCCTTCCTATGTTTTGATTTTTTTTTTCAACAAGTTAAACATGTCCTAGATAGAACATCTGGTTAGAATTATTATTCAATTAAAAGGTAATATATAAGAAGCTTACATGGCCCATTAGCTGTCAATCACACAGTCAACATCGAGCGGTTATCACAGAATATTTTCAAAGAGAAATTAATAATCACTGTGTAATCCCATTTTCTAGACTTCCACATTTGTCTCATAGCCAGCCACATTAAAACAGAACACCAATCGAGCTTTTTGGAAGAAAATAATTTGGAATATTGTATAAAACTAGAGCAAAAGGACGAAAAGGCTTTATTTATTGAAATAGTAGGTATTATTTCAAGGTCAGAATGATTATCTTATTGAGGTGGAATTTGATGCCTTGGGAGTGTTTATCCTTCATTCTAGAAAAACTGTGAAAACTCACTGTTTGAAAAAAGAAATCTCCTTCCAAACAACCTCTGTGGCACATTCTGAAGTTTCTGTTCCTCAATATATTATAAAAATAATGAACTTTATTTATATGGCAACTGTCATAACATAAAATGTGGCTCAAGTCGCTTTACAAGAGAAATTAATCATTAACTCTTGTATTTAAAAAGGTACAAAAACAAACCATGTATTAGAAACGGGTATTGAAACATACTTTTTTTTACAAATACTAAATAATATAACATTACAATAAAGAGATATATTAGTTTAGTTTAGTTTTTTATTGGTTTGATGCCACCAACACACGACATGTTGCCTCGCAAAGGAGTCGTCACAGTACACTCTGTGAAATGACCTTACATAAATTTAATAATAAAGCATGAAATCAAACTAATGCTTCGCAGCAGCAGGGGAAACCCTTAGCTGTAGATTGGGTCTTTATTTGTTGAGTTAAACGTTTTTTAAAAGCAAACGGTAAAATTCCACATTTTCTTTTAAAGCTGCATTATGTGTAGTCGGTGCAGTGTTTATTTAACAGTTCTTACTCTTGACTAAAAAACATCCTCTGTGCTATCATTTGGCTCATGTCTCAGCTGCTCAGAATACCTTTACACTGAGTCGTTCTTAGATTGAAAACACATGTGGATCTGTAGAGCACAGTAATACAGAGACAGCACTTTACACTGCAGTCTCCTGGCTCCCTTTATTTGAAATGTTTGGTTTCTAAAAAAAGTGATTCTGTATGTTTTAATTTGTTGATGGGATAACTGTTTGTGTGCATGATTTAATAATGCAGTGGAAAGTGTGGGATTGGACTTCACTCAGTCAATCTTTTGTGAGTCATTCATAGATATGTTATGTTTGACCACGCTGAGCCCCCTGCTCATGCACGTGAGAATGAGAAGAATATTTTGCTACCTCTCTTAACATCTGCACAGCTTTCCACTTTTCATAACAATACTGCACATTTTATTTTGTATTTTTTTCTGTACGTAATTTCATCCAAATAATATTTTCTTACAATTTATCTTCGTTAACTGTGTTTATGTATGCACCATGTACACCAAGGCATAATCCTCGTATGTGTAAACCTACTTGTCAATAAACCTGCTTCTGATTCTGAAAATGTTGTTTAAATGTTAAAGGGGAGCGATGATGTGCAGAGAGCAGTGTGTGTGTTGAATCATGAGGCGGGGGCTGATGTCCGCCCTGCGGTATGTGCTTGCTGGGTTTGGCTGTAAGCTGACCACCCTCTGTTGTGCTTCTATTTCCAGGGCGTGAGCGGAATGTCCGTGGATGAGAAGCCTGAAGCCCCCATGTATGTGTATGAGTCGACAGTTCATTGTACCAATATCCTCCTCTGCCTCAACGACCAGCGGAAGCAGGATATCCTGTGCGATGTGACCGTCCTGGTGGAGGGGAAGGAGTTCCGCGGGCACCGCTCCGTGCTGGCCGCCTGCAGCGAGTACTTCCTGCAGGCGCTGGTGGGCCAGGCGGAGAATGGCTTGGTGGTCAGCCTTCCGGAAGAGGTACGACTATCAAACACACTTTGTCCTGCACAGTTTTTCCTTTCCATGGGTCGAAGTGCTATTGACCTCTAGACAATGCAACTCTAAGACCCTGGCCACACGAGGACGCATACGGCTAAACGCATAGGATTAACGCAAACGCAAACGCAAAAAAGCTTCCGTCCACACGCAATGTTCAACGGATAGTGTCTGTCCACACGAGACAGCTCCGTTTAGCTCCAACCGCTGGAGAAGCTGCAGTACATATGCAGGAGCCTGTACATGGCGCTGTAACTTCCTCCACAAAAGCAGCGAAGAAGCATGGTTGTCATGGTTGCCTTTATGTTTATTCTCCGCGGTGGGGGCCGAGGGAACCGGGCAGAGTTTTTCGCCAGTCAACGTGTATTAAAGTTTAAATCTTCCGGACAAAATTATAAAAGTGCCGGTCAAAGGTCTTCTTTGTTATTTATTGAGCTTTAAATCAAATGAATCACGAATCTATATAATATAATAATATAATACATGGAGCCTCTCTTTTTCCTCCCTCTCTTCGGACAGCGTCAGTGTCTGTCTCAAGCAGCAGCTGATCCAGTAATGAGTGACCCGGTAAAAGAAGGTAAAAATAAACATATTTATAACTAGTTTAGGTAGTTTGAGAGGTAATTAAAACAGCTAAGGGCGATGATCTGACTTGAAGTGTGTGTTTGCTCCGTTCACCGCTGCATCACAGCGGGAGGAGCTGCAGGTGAGCAGAGCTGCGTGTCTCCGTCCTGTCAGATTAGACTTCACTCGCATTTATGTCCATATCGAGAGAAAGATAAATAATCTGAATTCAGTGTGAAGTTTACTTTGACGCGGGGGTGAGCAGCAGAGGTGGGGAGAGGCGGGGCTATTGCGTCATCATTATCAGAAAATGATCGTATAGGGCGTACACACGGAGCCGTTGGACCCCCCCAGAGCGTTGCGTATGCCGTTGTTGNAGAATTTTCCGGGGCTACAGAAAAACATTCGGGCTAAAGCCCCGGATGTCCAGCGCCACAGGCGACGCACCTGGGCGCTGGAGGCAATACTTGGGCCAACTTCGAGACCTCAGAAATCGGCATGGCATTTAAAAATGTGCAAAATGGAATCACCCAGGAGCTGTATAGATTAACATTTAACTTGGCTTATGTAGGTTGTAAGTGGCCTGCCTTAGGCGGCCTGTAGCACCATCCTTGATGGAGGCAATAGGCTATGTGTGGGCTGGACCTGTATTTTACAGGAAATGTGAGTGAGCAGAGGGGTAGAGTTGTCAATTCTTGTTCTGTTTTCTGATGACTATCTTCGCTCACCCTCTCAGACATTCAGTTGGCACGCCCTACTAAGATGACGTGTTACCCTGGCAAATCAAACAATGGTGTAACTGTATTAAAGTCCAATTGGAAACAGTCCTGAGAAATCTGTTTTTGTCAGAAATCCGGGAGAAATGGCGGGAGAATATGACGCCCCGGGAGGAAACGCCGGGAGAGGGCAATGAAATCGGGAGTTGCTCCGCAAAAATCGGTGAGGTTGGCAGTATGGGCTGGAGCCACACAAGGACGATAACACATAACGGACCTAAATCGATATCATAAAAGTCTTCCGTCCACACGCAATAGGCCAAGCAGAACGTGCCCGTTCAGCAACGAGACATGCCTCGAAAGCGCTGGAGACGCGCGTGTATTTAACATATGCCGGGCCTGTAAAGTGGCGCTGGTACTCCTGCCACAAAAGCAGCGAAGAAGACTTCCCGCACATGGTTGCCATGGTTATCCTTCTGTCTATTCTCCGCTGTGGACGCTCTGGCTCCTTTTCTCCCTCCCCGAGGCAAGCGTTTGCTCCTGCTGTAAATCTCTCCAGTAGTCCACCAGCAGATGAAAAGCACCCACTTCTCCGCCTCTTCCAAGGAACGAGGGGACCGTGCGGCAGAGTTTCAGTTAGATTTTTTTCGCCGGTCAACATGTTCGTTAAAGTTTAAATCTTTTTAAATATTTATTGATCTTTAAAACAAATTGATAACGACTCTATATAATAATAAAACAATAAAAAACGGAGCCTCTCTTTTCCTCCCCCTCTTCTGACAGCCCAGCAGCTGATCTCTGAGCAGGAGAGGTGGGGAGAGGTGGGGCTATTGCTTCAACGTTGTCTCAAAATTATTGTATAGGCGTAAACATGGAACCGTTTGCCCCCCCAGAGCGTTTCGTTTGCAGATCTACCCACCTTGGGACCCGCTGTCGTTATCGTTTTCTGCGTTTCCATGTCTGCCTTGTGTGGCCGAACCGTCTATCTGATAGTGAACTGTAGCAGATACGACCGTTGTCGTCCTCGTGTGGCCGGGGCTTTACTCTGCCTTTAACAAAGTACAGTTGAAGTTACGCCTGACACATATCTGAATATACTCTGCCATTAAAGGATTACTTCACCTCAGACAGGCTCAAATATATTACGAGACAGAAACACTATAGCCTACCCATCTTTGTGTCTTCACGGAGCCAACCGTAATGCACATCTGAAGTTTGATCAAATTAGTTACCTTACTCACTCTTTTTGCAGAAGCTTCAGCATTTTCGTTAAAGGGTAACCACGGATTTACATAAATGTCCTGAAGTAGGACATAATTACCATGCTTTTCAATAATGACATTTGCGGTTTTTCTGTGATCTAAGTGCTTCAACAAAATGAGTTCAGGTAGAGTCACTTGGTTGTATTATGAGATTTGTTTTAAAGTTACACTATCTACATTTTTGATCTATTGTAGCTACAGTACAATACACAACCCCACTATGTATAGTACAGCATTACCTGACATACTGTATGTCTAAGTCATCACGCTTAAAGAGGTCTTAAACATTGATTCACACAAATAACATCACACATACTTTGCTTTTACATGGACTGAATAGCTAATTGAATGGCCTCCACAGGATTTTTAAGATATGATTGCTTAATTAAAAATGTTTTGACCATATCTCGTCTGACATTGATAAAATAGAATAAGGACTATAGGAATCTTTTTCATCCGAATGTTGTGCAGATAACTCATGAAGGAAAACCTGAATCCATGTGCTGAATAACAAGATTAACATAAATTATTTGTTCATTCGTTAATGCTACAGAAAACCTACAACATCTGAGCTATGGTAATAATGGACCTTTTAGTTTTCAAGACTTTTTCCTCTTTCCATTCCTTCCTAAACCATTTCCAAACATCACTTTTTCTTCCGTTTGGTCTTCCTCACCTCTCGTCCAGCCCTATGGCCTCTCATTGTGGTGTTTCCTTCTTAATATTCAGAGGATCCCGTCAGGTTTGACCTTCGGGTGAGCCTCTGAAAAGATCTCATTTTGACTCAAGGTAGCAATAATAAAGTTGTAAAGTAAGGCTGATAATAAAACCCTTGTGCAGGCAGACTCTACACACATACAATACATAGGCCTACATAATGAGCAAACATGTTTACAAAAGCATACTGTGTGTGCACACAGTCATATATAAGTCACTCAACCACCGGAGGACTTCCTGAGTCTGTGAATAAACATATATGGTAAATCTCTTGAACTTCAAAGATAATAACGGGGCTCTCAACAGTAAATGGAATGCATGGTTGCTGGAACTTGACATAATATATAAAATAAAAAAACTGGGAATACTGCAGCGGATAATTTTAAGATGATGAGCTTTATTTAATACTGCTGCCTGTTGTTTGGTCTTGATGAGGAATGACGAACAATGACTTCAAACAACATGAACGTTTCCCTCTGAGTTGCTCCTCAAAAAGTTTCCATTCCTGCATACAACAATAACAGGAAGACGTTTGTTTTTCTCTCTGAATATACTGCATAAATATATCCAATATCTAATAATTTCATAGACTAGTTTGGGCTGGTTGGGGGCAGGGCTTATGGCTTTTATTTTAGAATTTTGCAATCAATTATGACATGTGTGTGTGCTTGTCTATATGTGTATCTGATGAAACAGGAAGCATGTGGGCGAATGTTGCAAGAAATTGCCAGCCTGAATAATTGCTGTTTTTCTTGATAGCTCTCAAATATCAGGTTTTGTTGTTGCCAGGTTACAAGCCTAACATTAATGCTCACCAGTGCTAATATTCAAACTAATGCCAAATAGATAACCAATAATGTGTCATTATGCAATAATTCAACTATTCCTATAACAAATAGCTGTTTCTGAACAGCTACAGGCTCATGAAACTGTCCCTTGCTTTGAGGGATTTAACTGTTTTATTTGAGGTGTGTGGTGCAGTGTAAATATGGGTCCATGGTGTGTGCATTTTGCTCTTTTATCTATATTGAGTGGGATATTTAACTTCACCTATTGGTGAAACTCTGTGTTTGACTAAAGCCTTTGTAATTGTAGGATCCATAACTCTCAACTGTTTATTGTGCCTTACTTGTTCTCCTTTATTTGTGGTTGGGATGGAAACTATTGTCTTTTTGTTTGACTCAGTTGAACATTGTTTTTTGTTTACTTGTTTGGCCTTGGAGACACTGATGCCTTCTTGGCTTCTGTTTCTGTTAATATTAGATGATTTCTCTTTTAGCCTTTTTTTACGCAGATAAATGTTGCTTATTGTTGCACTTAAAGTTCTTCCGCAGTCCTTGACATCATCATTTTGTTCATATATTAATACAAATATTGATTAGAAGGGTCAGATTTGTAACACCAGCAATGGCTATATAACAAATTCCATTAAAAGTAAAAGTAATAACTCACACCCGCCATCCTATGACAGTCCAGCCATTTCTTCACACTACAAGAAAATGTGTGTCCCTACTATGCAGCAAGTGCAATAATCTGTGTGTATGTGGTTGTGTGTGTGTGTGTGTGTGTGTGTGTGTGTGTGTGTGTGTGTGTGTGTGCGCGTGCGTGCGCGCGTGCGTGCGTGCGTGCGTGCGTCCGTGTGTGTGTCCCATATGCTTTAAGTACAAGAATGTGTGCAATGATTTTTCTGGCTACTTACTTAAGTAGCACCTTAACAAGGAAA